AGCAGAACAGGTAGATGGATGAAATACACACTGATGAGGGGAGCAGCGGGTGGGTGAGGTGAGGTCTGCCATGCCATGTGGGTCACCTCCAAGGCTGGGGATGAACACACTGAAGCGGCTGTGGCCAGCTTGCAGGGCTGAGTCCTAATCCGTTGCGCCACCAGGGAGGGCTTCAAAGACTTTTTTTTTTAAATCAACTTTTTTCTTCATCTTCAACTTCACCTTTCCTGATGGCCCCACTGTCTCCAGCATGTTAGTCTCTTCTTTTTTGAAAAGAGCAGAAACAAAATCCAAACGCTCCCATGTGCCTTTAACTTCTTTAAGATTAGTCCAAACAGCTTAATTTACTTCAAATCTCTCCAGTCTGGCCTTGGCCCCACCACTCCCATGGCACTTGCTTTGTAAGGTCACTAAATGGGCTGAATCGTGACACCTAAAAGTAAGTCTAAGTGCTAACCTTCAGAATTGTGTGAACTTATTTGGAAAAAGATACAATAAGGGTCTCGAGATCATCTGGGATTTAGGGTAAGCCCGAAGTCCAAAGACACATATCCTTGTAAGAGAAAGGTAAAGGGAGATTTGAGATTAGCACCCAGGGGAGAGGCTTTGATATCTCACTTAGCAAACATGCCCCAAATCAAACTTCTGATTTCCCTGAAACACTTTTCCTAAAAATCCCGGTTTTTCTCTGGTTTCCCACATCTGAAGAAATGAATTTCCAATTAATATGATTGGCCTACTAGAAACCTGGAAGTCATGCTTTTTCCCTTGTTCCCACATCCAATTCGTAAGCAGCTCTTACCAGGTTAGTATATAAAATGTATCTTGAATCCATTCATTTTTTTCCCCTCTCTCTCATCATCCTTCGACCATGCTAAAATTGTATTTCGCCTGGTCTCTGACAATGGCTTCCAACTGATTCTCCGCATAGCAGACAGAATGATCTTTTAGGAGATCAGATGATGCTTAGAACTCAAAGCTCTCCCAAGGAGTCTCCCTACAGCGAGCGCCAAGTTCACTCCAGGGACCCTTCGGTGGCCGTGTCCTGCCCTCTCTCTTCCCCTGCTCTGTCCTCAGACTCAGCAATAATGATACAGTGCATGAGCCAGTCTCTACGAATGTGGATCAGCAATATTTACAACTGGTATGTTGGCAATGATTTTTAGCTCCAAGCATCTGCCCCATTTTTTCTCACCTTGGGCCATTTAGGACAGTGTCCTCAGGTCACTGAGAACTCCTTGAAGCACCCTCGCCCCACTTACCACAGGTATCTCCTTTTATTTTGTCTCTCATAAAACTCAGTTCTTTTCACCATAGAGTTTGCCATAATCTGTAATTAAGCACTTGATCATTTGTTTATTTACTGTCTACCCCACTGGGTTGTTTCCAGAAAGCAGCTGGGACTGTCTGTTTCTCATCACTGAGCACGGAGCGCCTAGCTCAGGGGCAGCCTCACACAGGAAGCTCCATAAATATTTGTTGAATGATTCTACTCTCCTCTTGTGTGTTCTAGCAGGCAGGCTCATTTGGTGAGAACATTTTCATACGGAAGAAACCCCAAATCTACATTTTATGAAAACCCAAAGACTTTGTTATACAAACATATAAATTATTTTATTTACAAAGCCATGTTACAAAAAAAAAAAAAAAGCAAAAAAAAATTACAATCGCTCACTGGAGAATGTCTCCAGGCCTGGTGCTGAACCGCGGCCGTATCAATAGATACATGTTTGTTCTTCCCTTGTAAAAACTGTAGCCATAGAATTTACTATTTACACCTACTTTAGACATTTATTCTGCTTACAATATCACAGGCATGAAATGAATTCTATCTGATAGTGCTATTACATAAAGGTGCGGGACAAAGGAGGAAAATACTTAGTGTTACAAAATATGAATCATAGAAAAGAAACCCACTCCACAAGTGTGGCATTTGTTGAGAATGTTTGGACATGCTTTCTTCAAAATTCTTCTGGAAAAGGTTCTAAAATCGGTAGTAGGAAAGGACAAATGAGCAGGTGCAAATTCTTGTCTGTGCAACAACAATTATTTAATTAATATGTCCCATGACTGATCAGCTACTTATTTACCCAGTTTTGTTAAAGTGCCATGGGCCAACAGCATAACAAAATATAAGGTGTAAATAGAAAATTTCTTTTTTTCCTTTTTAAAACAAGAGTTCACTGAGAATCAGCAATAATAGAATATGCTGTATAAACTATTCTCTACAAAGGTTGATCAGCATTATTTACAATTGGTACATTGATACAAAAGAAGGCATACAAGTTATCCAAGTTGGTGGTTTTTTTTGTTTTTTTTTTTTGTTTTTGTTTTTTTTTATGGCTGACAGGTCTATGCTATGCATTGCATTATGCTTAACAACCAGAGCTTTCGAGCCTCTGTGGCTGGCGACAGGTCATGAGATCTTCAGGCAAATGGAGGTGTGTGCAGTCAAGGGGCGGGGGAAAGGGCCTAGGGGGGTGTGCAGAACAGAAGTACCCAGAGGATATCACCTTCATAATGCATTATAGGCTGGTCCAGTTGAACTCCATTACAACAAACCCAAAGAAAACCTTTTTATTTGCATTCCATTTTTCAAGCTGTGAGTTTTTAATACATCATTAGAAAGTAAACCTGTGGTTGACTGTGAAGAAAGGAACACCGTGGGTTTTCCTTTTTGCACAGTTTTCCAGAAATGTCTTCACCTTGGTCAGAGCCAGTCTTTCACATAGTAAGCAGCATTCGGTGGGGAGCCTCTTTATTCCAGCTTGCAATTCAAAATGTCGAGAGCTAAAATGTTTAAACTTATTGAATTGCTCCTTTAGTCCCTGTCGAGACATTATTTCTCAGAAGCAGCCACTTAATCTCTCAACCTTTATTTTCCCTCTTTGAATTTAAGAGTTTATAAATCAGAGGGTTATTTTGTTGCTGAGATATTTTGTTTTTACTCCTGCAAGTTTTACAACTCAAAATAAATTATAAAAAAACAAGACTTCTATAACCAAACAAGACAAAAATTGTGCAAAAATAACAAAGATATGTACATACTTTTCAGTCTGAAGAAATGTACAATAAAAACATAATTCAAAGAACATTTTAAAAATATAAACATTGCTTAAACTTTCCTAAGTTTCATATTGTTTCTGAAACTATTCTGGTCAGTTAGCTCTGTAATATAGTAAAACATAAATTATTACAAAATTAACACTATAAAAATTTACTTTTAGAATATCTTCTAAATTTTTTTCAAAGGGGCTAACCTTGTTTATAAGTTCTTAGACATTTATAAGTCTTAAAATCTGCCTTAACCTTTTTTTTTTTTACAAAAGAAAAAGGAACAATCTTCCCTTCAATTTGCAGTCTCTTTTTCCCCCAAGACGTAAATAAACCAGCATATAAGTGCACTTTTAACACTGTAGAAATAAAAATGAAATCATCTGAACTATAATGTCTTGGTACCTATTATCAACTCCTGATTTTTTAAAAAAATCTTCATTTTTATATTAAAAATTTTAGTAATCTTATAAGAAACACTGTCAGTGCAATTTCATTGTTGCAAATCACTCCTTTTGCCTCCCGTCTTTGCAAAACCCAATCCTGTGATGAAACTTAACAGTAGTCTGATCTTTGGGTTGGGGGATGGGAAAGAAAAGGAAAATGTCAGGGTGGGGATGAGCCTTAGTGCCCAGCAGCAGAACTGGCATTCACCTCTGACCCAGGCTTGGGGCAAGACTTGCTCTGCCATCATAACACGTAGTTAGGTAGTGAATAGTATAGAAAATTTTATACTGTGAATTCCTTTCCTGACTATGATTCCCTATCAGAGCTTATGATATTGCTGTTTCTTTCAAAACTTCAGTGTGAACAGATTCATAATGTTAGGACTTGTTTCTCTTCCAAGCGATGGTCCAGCCTTCCTACCCCTTCCTGGGGCAGCTGTATCTGAGTCGGGGCCACAGTATCTAGTGCAAGCTGACCTGTAAGTGTACTGGGCTCAGAGGTGGTTGGGTAATGCTAGTATTTATCCTCTCTGCAGGTTGACATTTAGCCCTGCATGGAAGCTTTCTCCCAGAGACCCTTCCATACTCCTTTCCCCCACCACACCTTTTTCTCCTCTTGCCTGGTGCTTGGGGGCAACTTGAGAATTTCTACAGCTGTGGCACCGTGCCCTCCTCTTAAATGGCTTCTTGGGCTTTAGTGTCCTTTTCCCTAGGATTCCTCCTGCTCTGGCCCACCTAGATTAGGGCCCTTGTACCCTCAAAGTGGCTTTACAGCCTGGATCCCTAACTCAGATTACCGGTCCCTCAATTCCCACTGTTTTTTGAGGAACATCTTCCCCTACCCTCTGCCCAGCTTCCTGTCACCTCCAAGGCCATTCAGTGACTGGCCCTTACCCAGTATAGCCTGTTTAAGCTTGCATAGTCAGAAGTTCTGGGCAAAATACATCATTAAATAGCTGCTCTCAATTTTGCCTGTAGTATCTGACTCCAGATATGGTGGTAGGTTCTAGAAACTTGACGAGGACACTGAGTTGACCCTCCAATGCTCTATTCCTTACTCCCCAAACAGGAGCAGCTCCTAGCCAAGTCCACTCCCCCATATGCTGTCCAGAGGGGGATTTGTGTGAGCCAGCACCTTCTGATGGCCAGTGGGCACCCAGGGAGTGGCAGGCAGGAGGAGTTGGAAGGGGCAGGTGGGAGGAGACAAGGGAAGGAGCAGTGTGTGTGCTGCAGTTCGAGCGTTTCAGATGATACTAGCTAGGAATGGACATTCTGCAATGTCTGCTCTTGTGGCTGGAGCAAAAATGATGGTGCATTAGCAGCATCAGCAGCTAGGAGTGACCCCAAACTTGGAAGAATGTATACGTGGTAAATGAAAGACAATGGAAACAAAACACTGGTATTGTTTTCTGTAAATCTCAAATTCACGTTCTTTTGCTTTTATCTTTTTCTCCAAAACTAAAAATTGGTCAATTAAAAAAAAAAAAAAAAAAGGAGAAGGAGAAAGGCCAGAGCCACAGGCAGGGCACCGGAAATAGACTCTCCCCAGTGCCACTCACTCCCCCCACTTCCTGGGGAGGCACCGAATGGCCAGGAACTGGTTCAGGTGGCTTCATAGTCTTGCTATGGAAGAGTCCTTATCCTGCCCGTTCTGTTTGTAGTCTTCTAGGAAAAAAAGAGAGAAATTTGTTTCAAAACCATATACTTGGTATTGTTCAGGAGAATTCAGGGACAGAACCCTGGCTTCTCACCTACCCAGGCACATATCAGTTTATCTCCCCTCACTTTATTGTGCTTTTGAAAGAAAAAGCAAGATTTGTGGCCATCCTGACTTGAACAAATTTTGGGCACTATTTTTTCCAACAGTTCAGCTGATGGTTAGCATTTTTCAGCAATAAAGTATTAAGATATGCACATTGCTTTTTAGAAAGATAAAACACTACTAAGGTATATTTAATGGACTACAGTAGAGTATAAACATCACTCTCAGATGCAATGGGAAAGCAAAGAATTCATGTCATCCACATAGTGACATTCACTTTATTGTGTGGACTGGTGGATCTTTGAGATATGCTTGAAATAAAAAACATGATATCTCACCTCCTGTATTCGGCAAACGGCTGCAGTATTATATTTATTTATTTTAAAATATTTATTTATTTATGCATTTTAGTGCTGGGGTGTAGGCCAGAGGTGTAGGAGGTGAGAGGATTCACCAGAGACAGAGTGGGGAGCAGAATAGGAGGACTGACTGAAATGCACTGCTGAGGGAAGCAGCAGGTGAGACAGGAGAGATCTGCTGTGTCATGTGAGTCACCTCCATGGCTGGAGTGATAGGTTTACAGGGCTGAGATTTAACTCCTTATGCCACTAGGGAAGCTCTGCTGTATTATTTAAGCAGCCAAGAACTGGAAGCAACCTAAGTACCCACTGACTGGCGGATGGGTAAAGAAGCTGTGGTATGGATACGTAATGCAGTACTATTCAGCTATTAAAAAAGATGAAATCCTGCTACTTGAAACAAGGATGGGCCTAAGGGAATTAAACTTAGTGACATCAGCCAGACAGAGACAGAAAAACACATGATTTCACTAATATGTGGTATATTGCAAATTCAAACATGAAATAAATGAAACAAACTTTTAGATTATAAAACTTAAAAGGAAGGAGAAAAAAGAGGTAGGTAAATGAGACAATGGCATCAACTGTATAGTAATGGGTAGAACTAGACTTCACTAGAAATGAATGTAGTATATAAACATATTTTCAAAAATGTACATCTGAAACATGTTATAATACAATGTCACTTCAATGCAATAAAGCAAATCCAGAAAAGAAAAAATATAAAGGGTCATTGTGATGGACATAAAAGATAAATGTAAGGGAGCTACACAGATCCTAGCTGAGAAGAAAAATTCAGGGACAAATCCATGGGGCTCCTTTCCAGGAGAGGAATGGGGTAGTTGACCTATTTGTCTTCCTTTATCCCTCTGTTAGTTTTTCTACTTAACCTACAGGCAGTGTGCTCAGGTATGTAAGGAGGCGGTACAGTGTTAAGAACAGAGGCTTTGCAGATAGAGGTTTCAGGTTCACATTCTTTGCCTTCACAAGTGGTCACAACTGCCACTATAATCACACTTAAGGCTGAACCAGCATTCTGGGTCCCCAGCAGACACTCTGAGCTCAGAGACCTGCACCCTACCTCCTCAGCACAGAATGGCTGCCAGTGCTCATGCACAAAATGGCCATGGAACAGATCAAAAAGGTGAGACTCAGAAGTAATCTCCCCAGCTCAAAATGCTGAGATACTCTTCATGACTTGGGGATACAAAACTGGTTCCCAGTCATCTGTATTTTCCCAGTCACCCTCCCACACCTTCCAGGCCTCCCTCAGGCCATATATACGCTCCAGCAGAGAGTCATTGATACATGGGCTACTCTCACACCTCCAGATCGTAAACCCCCTCCCCCCACTTGACATTCCCACCAGGATCTGCATCCTGAATGCCTGAAATATTGACATCTGCTGTCGATCAAGCCCTGCAGTCAACATTCTATTTAATTTTCATAATGACCTTAGATGATAGGCATCGATTCTGCCATGGAACAGATGAAAAAGGGAGACTCAGATTTAATCTCCCCAGTATCATAGAGCCAGTAATGTTGAGAATAGCTAATACATGTGTTTGTTATGTGCCAGCATTTTCTGGAGATTTTATGTAAATACATTAATTTAATCCTCACAAAAGCCATATGCAGCATGGGTCATTATGATCTCTACCTTGTAAGTGATGAAACTGAAGCACAGAGAAGTTTTAAGTAACTTGCTCAAGGTCACAGCGAGAGGCTGGGCTTCAGGAGCCAGGTAGCCACACTCTTGAGTGGAACAAGATCTGAGCCAGGTTCTGACTCCAATGTCCATTCTTTTTGCCCTACTGGTAACCCTGTATACTTTGCCCCCCCCGTAACTTACCTGTCGGCTGTGTCCTGGGCTGGATATACTTGAAGGACTGGACTGTGACAAAACTAGGCTGCTATTTTTCCCAACCTGAAAGACACCAGTGAAGCCCTACTCAGATACATGAGCCAGTCGGGAAAAACCCACCGATACCACATTTGCTAAGGGAAGGGAGAAGGGCTTCCCTAGAATTTGCTCATTTTCCTCGCGCCCGTATGAAACTGGTGACTTCATTTAAATGGCAGAGAAAATGAAATCCTCGGGGAGTGCCAGGGAACTCATAATTCTCCTTCCCAGATGGACAGACTGCAAGTTTCAAGGATGAAGAAGAAGGCATTAGGCCAGAGGCCGGGTCCTTCCCAGGAGCATTTAATTTAGCAGAAGCCTAGCACTTCCACCTGTGGACAAGGAGTACACGAACTCGTCTGAGTTCTAATCCCAGACTCGATTGTTTTGAGTTCAGAATCCTTTGAACCAGGCAGGGACAGAAGCTTGAATCTTTTTCTGGTCAGTTTTCTGGGCCAGAAGATCAGTGCAACCTTTCTGTTCTTCAGATAACTAGCAAGATGGTGCTGAGTGGGGCTTCAAGTGGAAGCTGGATACTAGCCCAGTGACCACGCTGGAGCGTGTTGTGTGGCTGTGTCCCCAAGTGGAGTACCCTTCCCCAAATCAGCTCCTGTCTTTGGACTTATAAAGAGCTAGCCCTCTACGTTAGCTTCTAGGCCTCTGTGTTAGCTTGACTTTGCACGCAACTTTGTCTTACCTTCAGTCTTCTTTTTTATTAAATTTAATACTCCTGAGGCAAATTCTGGCTTTACACCTGCCAGACATAATTAAACAGATCCTCAATTTGTCCCCAAAGCATGTGTTCACCTTGGATTTCTCAACCTCATGCCACTCCAATGTCCTAACAACAGAGTCCAGCAGCCTTTCCTCAGCACTTAGAGATACTTAATATTTAGAAATAACAGTGACCCTGGACAGACTTTTCTTAGTGGCCTGGTGACATACATCCAGTTATTACCTACATTAGAGAACCAAAGCTGACTAGACCCACAGCAGTCATTCAACTCTGCTTTTTTGATTTCCCTCGTCATGAGCCCTCTCTGGAGACTTGTCTGTTCCTTTTGCTGTTTTTTGGCTGATTCATCCTGTTTACTAAGCATTTCATTCATTTGGTCCACAGAACAAAGAACCCAGATCCTACAGAGGCACATTAACATAGAGGCCTGGAGGCAGAGCCAACTGCCCGAGTCTTGCTCTTGGCTGGCTGTGTGACTTTGGACACACTTCTTAACCTTTCTGTGCTGTGGATTATTCATTTGTCAAGTGGGAGTAATAACAGGTAATGATTAAATGAGTTAATGTATCTCAACTTGGGAACAGTCTATGCCCTACGTGTTAGTTTCTAGAACTTTGTCTAAAACCGGCAACACCATAGCCTTGGGGCTCAGGATGTCTGGAGGGCCTGAAAACCACGATGGCCCTAATGCTGGCAGTCTCCTAGAAATGCAGATGCTTAGGCCCACCCCCAACCTCCTGATGCGCAATCTGCATTTTAACGAGACCCCAGGTGATTTAGGAAGACCGGGCTCTGCCTTGCTTCCTGAGACCTGGAGGTGGGACTGCCTAGCAGGTTAGTCTCAGGGGAAGGACTCTGTGGGTGCTAGCCCTCCCCTGCACCCCAAGGGCAGGGGAGTAGGAACGGTAGCACATCTGCCACAGCTGCAAGTGTGTGAATGGCCCCAGCTCTAGTGAGAGGTCTTACGTCTCCCCCTCTTTTACCTTTGCCTCTGTCTTCAGCTTACGGGGCCCTGGAGATCCAATTTTGCTGCTTCTCATGCGTTTACCTGTGATTTCTGAAACCCCCTCAAACATTCTCTCTGTAGGGTTCTAATAAGCCTCACATAAAGATGATCCAACACAGTTATGTGATTACTGCCTGTCATCCCCCCAAAGCCGTCTTCCCCGGACAGACCTGGGCTCAGGGTCTAGCACACTAAACTCTGAGGCTGCAAACCTGGAGCTGCTGCTCCAGCCTGCGCATGTTGCATGGGTGGGAGTGAGGGCCGTTGGGCAGGCTGCGCGTGGCTCTGCTGTGGCCCTCCAGAGCACCCAGGCCACACTCCCCACCGCTGCTCTCCCATCTGTGCCCTGCGTCACTGGAGCCTGGTGGCTTCTCCAGGCTGAGGAGAAAGAGTAGGCTTGAGGATGAGAATAAAGGAAGAGAAACACAAAAATTTCATGGCCCACTCCCCAGTTCCTCAGCTTGCCTTACAGTAAATAGCTCCTGTTTGTACACTGCAATGGACGCTTCTGCTCCGGCTCGTGTGAGGTGCAATTCTACTTTAAGAAGGAAAGAACTATATTCGGCCAAAGTAGGGGTTGAGGCAGCCTGGTAAAGTGGGAAGAGTCACCTGGGAGCCAGCCACACAAGTCACCACTTCCCAGGTGGGGCCTGGCCTCACTTTACTTGCCGGGGCCCCAGGCTCTTCCTGAGAGGATTGCAACAGATCAGTTCAAACTGCTCAGTGACAGATCTTCGTGAAAGTGGCCTTAGACCCTCAAGATATAAGACAGAAGCAGAGTGGGAGCTCAGGAATTGCTCTGTGCCTCAGTTTCCCCACCGCACCTAACACGCTGATAACCATGGTACCAATTGCACTAGGTTGTTGTGAGGATTAAATGAGGTGATATTTGTGAACTGCTACTTGCAGCACCTAGTGCACAGCAAAAAGTACCATACAAAGTATTTGTTAAACAAACTGCTCTCGGAGCCGAGGGTGAAAATTGCCTGAATGGAAAATGAGAAAAGTTAGCATTACCTCTCTGAGCCACCTGGCTAAGCAGGGGTGCTGCCCAGCTCCCCCTGCCACCCCCCTCCCCAGAGCCAATGAAGGCAGTGCCAGGAGGCCCCTGGAAGGATGGGTCCCTTACCTGCCGAGAGGAGGTGCTGTTAACGGGATCGGGCACCGCTGCGAGAAGGCTGGGCGGGTTCTTTTTGTGAACGCTATTCATACCAGGCATTTTAGTGATTTTACAGGCTTTGCTACTAGAACTCGAGTTCTTACGCTTTTTTCCTTCTGATTTGTCAAAAGAAAGGGGCAGAGATGACACGGTATTGTGTGAGGCCAGAGAGAGTTCCCCTGCAAGGGATGGCAGAGAGAGGGGACAGGAGTCGCTGCCGCCCACCGAGCCCACATGTCTCACTAAGTCCGCGGGGCCGCCGGGCAGCGAGGTCCGTCCTGAGGGCTCCAGTTTGGCACTGAGTGGGCTCACCCCATTGTTTGAGTTGTGCACAGACAGAGTGTTATAGGGAGGGGCCCCCTGATAGGAGTTCAAAGCTGAACTGGCATTCAAGACACAGTTCTTTTTGTGGGGACCTGATAATGAAGACGACAGGGATGTCTGCAAGGATAATGAGGAGGAGGAGGTGGAGGAAGAGGAAGTCGAAGACTGCGGCTTCCTCTTTTTGTTACTTGGACACTCGTCGCTACGGGCGGACAGGTCTTTGACTTTTGAGGATTTGCTGGTTTTGGTTTTGGATGGCTTGTGGGATGGGGAAGGGATGACGGCTGGTATCGGGGACACGGCAGATGGGGCCTTGAAAGTTGAGTCCATGATGCTGAGGGTTGCAGCCACATGAGGGAAAGCTGTGGTGTGTGACATGAGGGCGCTCGCGTCCGGCGATGTCACAAAAGCTGCGTTTGAGAGCATGGCTGATGTCATTATGTAAGAAGAGGTGAGTCTCGAGCTGATGGGGGCTGAAGGAAGATACACAGCACTGGGGTTGCTGAAAGGCTGTAAAACGGATGCCGGAACGGGGGTGGTGATGTGGGCTGCTGGCGAGGGCATGGGGCTATCTGCCGCAGGAGGGATCTTCCTAAACATGAGAGAAGAGTGAAAGAGAAACAGTGAGAAACAGGCCTGGCGTCGCTCCGGAGCTTGATTAAGTGTGAGCATCAGGGCTACAGGGAAACCCCGGTAGAACCAGACTATGGAAAATGAAGCCTCGAAGGATGGCAAAATCTGAATTATGGCCCTTCCCTGTGGTTTCCCCCATTGCAACATCCAGCAACCTATTTTTAATCCTTCTCAGGTTTTCAGATCCTTTTCTTCATGCTTGGCTACTGGATAATGACGGATTTGGGTTCATGATAAAAGGCAAATGTTACTGAGAATATAAATTTCCCCAACAGCATTCTCCTCCTTTTTGGGGGCAGTGATGAATGTGGCTTTTAATGAGAAGTGGCTATTTCCCGTTTAGCTCCTGGCTTGAAGAATAGTGAGGATAGGACTCTGCCACCCGCACAGGTGGGCCAAAGTGTCCCCCTAGACCCCTTATCCACAGCCTCCTGTCCCCCTGCTGGCCTGCCCTGCTCTTGGCTGGAGGCGGTCTGGGAAGCCCTCCTCTCCTCACAGGCCGCATCCTCCTGCCTTGGCTGGCTGCAGCCCTGGTTTCCCTGTGGAGCAGCATCTCCTGGTTAGCTCCTGCGGTTAGTTTCTACCGGCTGGCTCCTGCTGGGTCTCCCCCGGAAGTGGGGGGCACTGAAGGGCTGGGACCGGGGAAATGACGTCACACTGCCTGGCCCCTAGCCCGAATTTTTCCCCCTCTGACCCCTGTTCCTCAGCTCTCTCTGCCTTTTAACAGGTCTTCCTGTCTCTGTGTTAGGAAGGGGTGAGAGTGCAAGAATTTATAGTTTTTTCCCCCGAAGATAGATGCAGGACATGGCACAGGAGGGCATATGGTGGGCAGTCTTGCTGGAGGATGTCAGGGAGCAAACTCCCTGCCCCCTACATGTGGAGACCTGGTCAGCTCTGCAGTGGGTCTGTTCCTCTTGGGGCCTCCTGCAAATTCTGTCTTCTGATTTGTTCTTGAAAGAGCTCCTACTTCTAAGGATGGCGTGGGCAATATTGTTGCTACTCTGGTGCCCTGGAGCCTTGGGATCACCATGTGTTTCTGATTTGGCAGGAAAGGACACTGACCTCAGGAGTCAGGTGAATATTTTCACACTCTTTCTGATTTTTTAGCTCGCTCCCCTCCCTGTTTTCTGTGTAGCTGGGGCTTCCCGGCACCTCGGAACCAGCTCCCCTTTGAAAACTCCTTTTTAAAAAGAGGCCTGGGACCTGCACCCTGGGGACCTGGGCAAGGAGAAGAGGCCTCACACAGTGCCTCCTGCCTCTGGAGACCAACTCCGAGCTGGGGCCACAGGCTGAGGGGCAGGCAACTCTGGAATGGGGCCTCACTGAGAAGGAAATGCTTCTTCTAGTGTGATTCTCTCTGAAGATTCAGTACTCTGCCTGCAATTTGAAGAACTTGTGGCTTCCATTTTTTGAGTAGCATCCAAAGGAGCAATCTTTGGGTGCAGAAGTACAGTGTCCTTAAAATGATCAGACCAAGTAGGATATTAAATACAAGAGATCACTGCCAAAGCTACGGTGGCCATGATGGCGTTTGAAAATTAACTTCTCTCAAGACTAAAGAGTGTAGCAGATCCTGTCAGCACCAAGCGAGTGCTCCATTTGTACCTGTTGCAATGAATGAATGAATGAATGAATGAATGAATGAAGGGGTGAGCAGGTGAATTCTCAGCAGCAACAAAACCATATTGTCTGGGGCTATGCATGCTGGGCAAGGACTCCCATATAATCAGGCTGGAGAGGTCGAAACACTCCCTTACACCTGTCTGGCATAGCACACCCCTCCTACAGCGCCAGGCAAGATCCTGCGTGTGCAGGGTCAGCATGTGTGCCTGCTGCCTCTGCTGCCTGGCTGTGCTGCTACGGGCAGCCCCTCGATCTTTCCTTGATTTGGGTGTCTTACCAGCTCATTCTGGGTAGAAATATATGTGGGCAACTCTATTACTCTATGTAATAGAGTTATTTACAAATACCACCTGGCTCACTTAGAGAAGACCCCAGTCAACCACCATGGCTGCTCTGAATGCCCTGATTTGTCATTTCCCCATTATTTGTATAAACACAAATTTATGTTTCAACTGAACTGACAAGCAGAGCCGGCGTCCTTAATCTTACCAGACTGCCACACAGGACTGGGATATAATTTTTATCCCCCTTTTTCCTCTCCCCACTAATCACAGGATAGCAAGGGCAGGAGGGGAGGCAGGGCAGGGGAGACAGGTCAAGGGGCAAGTGGCAGCTCGCTGTCCCCGGGGGGCCTTTCTCCCCATGCTAAACAGTGTTTTGCTAGGTGCCAAATGGCAGTGGATTTCAGCTTTGCACGCTGGTCTAGGGAAGTCCCGCACGAAAGCCCACAGATGCAAATAAATTACTGACAGTGCCCATCCTCCCCTGCCAGCTGGCATGGAGATCCAGATGCTGACCTGGCTGAAAGAGAATACTGTGTTGGTGTCTCCTGATGCAGAGTTAAATGCTTGTTAAAGAAAAAAGAGTCTTGGCCGTTCCTTTTCTTCCTAATGTCTTCCACGCCCCCATCGGCTGCCATCCCTCCAGGTTCGGGCCCGTCGCGGCCTGGGGTTTGGGCAGCGAGGTTGAGAGGGCAGCGGGGTGCTACGCTCTCCAGAGTTGACACCCAGGCAGCCCCAATGTTGCTCAGTGACAGCAGATTGGTTAGGCAAGTCCTGAAAAGGGGGGAGGGACCTGATGCCCTGTGACTCGGGTTTCTGTGCCTGAGGAGGAAAGGAATATGGAGCTTGAGCTGACAGGACACCAGGTAGCGAAATACAGATCAACACATTCCTTCACGTGTCCAGGATTTTTACACTTCCACAACACAGGAGCTCAAAGAGCTGCGAGAATCACCAGGGCCGGCTGCCATCTCGGGGGGAGCAAGTGCAGAGAATGAACCACCTGATAACTGAGAACACCGTTTCCCCGCAGGCAGCGCCAAATTGTTGCCGTTTGAATGGACACTGGTAGCATCGAGGGTGCCTTTTAGACACACGGGCAGTCGCTCATGGGAAGAAACGATAAGCTTCTCTTGTGGCCCTTTCCTAGGTTGTAGTGTCATCAACATCAAGGGTTTGGTCTGCTCTGGGAGGTTAATAGGCAGACACGACGGGATCTCTTTCTATAGTTACAGGAATTAAAATCTGCATTATGATGGGTGCCTCTGCTGCCTGGGAGAGAGGAGGAAGTGGGGGGTGGGGGCCAGTTCTGAATGGGGGCCATCCGTACCCCCAGGGCCCCCCCATTTCCCAGGAATGCCTGCCTTGCCTTCTTCTGGCTCCACTGGGCAGAGTGAGGGTCTTCGTGTTGGCCTTTGTGAGTCATCTGGGCTTAGACCTGAGGGATTCAGTATTTTAAGGGAATACAGTATCTTAGGAGCTCACCTTTATGAGTGAGGGAGTGAGGATGCCGGGGGCGAGCATTATGGTATCAAGTGCTTTGATTTGAGAGCCTAGGACTGTCATTTCTTTTAGGAGCATTTCCCCAAGTCTAGAAAGTTTCTTTCCTTTTTATAAGTCTCCTAATAAAGTTGGAGAACAAAGGGATCTTACAGAAATGGAACACAGCTGGGTTTAGGGTAGAGAGAGGTGTGAGCAGAGGTGAGGAGAGCGTTCTAGGGAGGTGGGAAGGGCCAAAGACAAGCTTAACTAACTGCACAGCATCACTCAGGATCTGCCCTGTAGGGTGCTGTGCATTCTTCGCACAGGGCATTGAACAATTAGAAATTAGTCCATAACCATTAGGAAAATTTTAGTATCGATATTTAGCATATATAAATAGAAGCATATTAACATCTTCAGATGTTCTTAGTTGTAGCAAAAAGGCCCTCTAAAACTGTGAAATAAACAAGACTCTAGCTACTACCCTTTTCATTCAGTTTAGAAAGAGTATCAACATGGAAACAATTTCAAAGAAGACATCTCATACCTAACACATCATCTGTGTTTTTACAAAACTACAGGCAGACCATTAAGAAGAGCTCATATTTAAGAATTAGTCATGGATTCTGACTTCAGAGTAACTTTGTCCTGTGAGAAGCCGACTGCTGACATTCATTTACAACGCTGGGTTCAGAGAGTTGTGGGGCAGCTCTGATCTGATACTGCACAAAAACCGTTCACTTACTTCCACATCTGTGAATTCAAGTGTTTTTCTACCATGGAGTTTAGTGCGAATCGAAAACGATCCCATCTTCTATCAAACACATAGTACCCTCGTCCCATGAGGCGACTCCCGAATGAGCAAAACTGTGAGGAAAAAAACATTTTAATTTTGATTACAGGTTAATAAGCTAATATAAACCATACAGAGAAAAATAACATTTGCATAAATACACACAGGGGTACAATTTTACTCAAAATAAAGAAGCAAATAGCACTGAAGCCAAAAATAATTCTGTGGTGTTTCACTTGGAGCTCCACATTTTCCACAGAGCCTCGTGTTATGACTCAACAATAGTGACATTCAAGTTTCTGTGGTGCCAAGAGCTACCTTCTCTACCTCTGGGATCCAGTCAGCACCTAAGGTGGGGGGAAAAAGGCCAGGATGACTTACTTTCTTTCTTTAAAAAGATTTATTTATGCATATAAGAGCTGGGGTGTAGACCAGAGGTGTGGGAGAGGGATGAGAGGATTCACCAGAGGCATAGTGGGGAGCAGAACAGGCAGATCTACTGAAGGACACTGCTGAGGGGAGCAGCGGGCAAGGCAGGAGAGGTCTGTTGTGCCATGTGGGTCAGCTCCTTGATAGGGATTGAACTTGTGCTGCAGCGGCTGTGGGAGATTCACAGTGCTGACACTTGTGCCACCAGGGTGGGCCCAGGGATGATTTTCAGCCCCATCTGCTTATCCTGTCTTCAGTCTTCTCAAGGAACTCAGTGGCTCCCTCCTTATCACTGTGATGGAAGTTGCTTATTCTGATGTTCTGAGTCTTCTGTCAAGCGCTCACACCTTTCTTGCCTGTTGTCAACAGAGCAACTTCCAACACAGCTGAACCCCTCCCCTTCCTGGACCTGACTTCCTCTCCTGCCTCCTACTAGCACCTGGAACATGTTTCTACCTTCATACATATAATCATGCTATTCCGTTGGCTGGCGCCTCCTTCCTTCTGCTGTCACCTGGAGCCACCTCAGCGCCTTTATCAAGACTCATTTCCAATGGCCTGTCTCTGACTAACCTTGCCTCTTTGATACACCTCATGTATTTTGTTACATTTCACCTCAAAATCACTGCATGGCTGCTTTATGTTAGGCCTAACACCCACCGTGCCTTACTTGGTTACAAATGTCTGAAGGGTAGGACTCATGTGCCTTTTCTTCCTTCTCAGTATGAGGATAGTAGGGGTTTGGATTAAACAACGGATGGGATGGGAGAGACAAGGCCCTGAACAAAATGTTGCTAGTGCACCATCACATTTAAACCGCATGGCTCAAATATGAGTTAGACACTGAATAGACATCATTTGATTATGATGTCAGCACAAACAGAGGCTAGTAGACAGAAATGCAGGAAGCGGCCTCTAAGAAGGTGACATTTGGCTGGTCTAGAGCTCAGGCGAGTCTGCAAACGACTCTATAACTCAAAGGCAACGTCTCCCCCTTCCCCAGCAGCTCCCTGGCCTCCATCCCAGACCCAGTGCTGGATTGGCACGCGTACCACAAACCTTCCTGGAACCAGCCTTTGGAACAGTTCAAAGGAAATGCAAGACCTTCCCTTTGTTTCTGCTTGCGTTCTGGAGGTTTTGCATTAAAATCTTGCCACCAAATCTGCAATTCCTGTTGATGCACCCTCATATTAAGTGTCAGTGGACCACACCAGTAAGCAATAAAGGGAACCCTCTGCCCTGGGGGTCGTCCCCAGCAGCACTGGGAGCTGTTCCAGGTCTCAACATCTTTTCTTCTTCCATCCTATTTGATCAACATACACTGAACAAGCTTCATTACAAAAAAATAATTTAATGTATCATTTGACCATGAGAGAAAGGACAAAGCAAAGAAGCAAACTCATGTCCCTTTCATTTAAATCAGTAAAACATTAGGGCTGCATAAATCCTTCATGCCCAGAGCTGAGCTAATCCATTCTAACACGCTGGCTTGTCATTTGGACCAACATCTTGCTGTGTTTCAAAGACTGGCCTTTGGGTGGAGCCGTTTCTCCCTTGCAGGCCTGGAAGCTGGAGGCACCTTTTTGTCCTTAGATATCCACATCTCCAGTTCAGGCTGGATGCACAGAAGCGCTGCCACACAGTAGCCCTCAGCAGAGCTGCAGAGCCTCACTGGGCACTGTAGAAGGCACTGCTGCCTGTCAATCTCATCCACAATCATCAAACTCCCACCTCTCCCTGCCTTTTCTTTGCTAACAAAACTACAATGATGTTTTGGTATCTGATAGAGAGCAGTGAGCAGGGAAGGCCAGAACCCTGGGATGAAGTATCACTTTCACTACAATCTGTCCTTCTCTGCCATCACTTTCACTACAATCTGTCCTTCTCTGCCATGGATGGGCTAGGGGTGGGCACGTGATCCACCTTTGGTAGTTAGAAGGGGAGGTTGGTTGGGGGGCGGGGATTGACAGGAAGATTTTCTTCCCTAAGAAATGATGGCATTTTAGAAGACCCCCTTTCTGTTTATCCACTTGCATCCTGTGTAGAATGTTCCTGGGTGATACTGGAGCTGTGGCAGACACATCAAGACCATGGAGAGAGGTAGAGGGTTGTAGAGGTTTGCCCTCATTTCCTCACATCATGGAGATACTGAATCAAGTTTAGAATCACCTATTTCTAGGCTTCTTCTTTTTTTTTTTTTTAACTTTTATTTGTGCATACAGAACTGGGGTACAGGCCAGAGGCTCAGGGGCGGCGAGAGGTTTCACCAGAGACAGAGTGGGGAGCAGAACATGCAGATCGACATAGTACACTGCTGAGGGGAGCAGCGGGCAGGTCGGGAGAGGTCTGCAGCGCCATGTGGTCACCTCCAGGGCAGGCGGGAATCAAACTCATGCGGAAGTGGCTTTAGCTTCTCAGTGCTGTGCTATAACCCACTGCGCCACCAGGAAGGGCCCTTCTAGGCTTCTTAAGTGAGATAATTAAATGATCATAATGCACACACTGTATGAATTAAGTTTTCTACTAGTGGCAATCAAAGACATTCCCAATTGTCGCTATTTCTGTATTAGAGAGGGGCAAAGTCTCAGGTTGGTGGTGAGACATGATGAGATCACCATGCCTAGGAAGAGGAAGTGAATTTGACCTTCCTACATCACACAGGTCGAAGGGAGGAGGGGATCACACTACTTGAAGTAGCATTGACTGCAGCCACACACTCCATGACATTGATGGATAGTGAAAATTTGCAAGGCTCAAGCTGGTGCTGGAGCAATGTGATCATGGGGTCCCATGTTTGAACCTTCCTGCACTTGACTCTGTGATTGATAGTAGCACCAGACATTCCCTTCACAAGTGATTGCCTGGCAAACAAGCCTCCAGGTCATGCTTCCTTATACTTCCCATCTGGATCTCAATGACTTTCTGAAAAGAGTGATCTCTTTCAAGGAATAAGAGAATAGCTTTTTTTGTTAATCAGCAATCATGCTGACATGATATGCTTTCTTCTCTCTCTCTCTCTCTCTCTCTCTCTCAGACACACACACACAGAATTCTACTGCCATATGGTCACATTTACTTATAACCATAAAACTCAGAACTGACAGAGAAGAAGACCATGTAGGGACTGGCACACAGCTCAGAGAGAGGGTTTCTAAAGCAGGTGAGCGAGACCAGCTCCTAACAGTGATGCTTTCATGTTCAGATGGGCAAGGCCAGAGGGCCATTCTGCTAATGTACTTACATAAATACCATTCCCCAGGCATTGTTGTTTCAAGAAGGACTGCAAATTCTTAGGTATTTAAAGGATCCTAGTGAGTAGGGAGCCTTTTCCTTTCCTCTTGTGATTTGTGAGTCTTTCTAAGGTTATCATGCAACCTCAGGATAAGCCTTTTGAAAAACACTGTCCTGGCAGCATTATGTGACACCATCACATAAATACCCCACAGTGCAGGGTAGAAAAGGCATGGAAGGAAAGGAAGGTGGCCTACCGCAAGAGGTCTGGGGTGGTGGGTAGAGAACTGACAGTCTAACTTCTCAGCTTCTTCGGCTCCGTCCATCTCCCCTTCATCACTTGATAGTCGGCTGGCCAGGTCACCTCCAGCTGGGGGCAGAGGGGGCTCCGGGGTGTAGCCACTATGATTTGAAGACGTGCTGCTGCTTATGCTATTTGCAGATGATGGTCTAGGGCAGGAAAGAACAAACAGAATAAACTTTTCTGAGGTACTATGACCCATCCAGAAAATGGAGCTCAGAAGGCAGCCCAATTAGCCTTCAGATGTGTCAAGGTTGGCAGGTCAATGGCAAATTTGCACAAAGGAAAAAAATGAAGGTTGAGAATGTTAGTTGAAACCAGCTCGCTACAGGGAACAGGTGGAGCAGAGGCTTAAATTCAGGCACCAGGGGAAAGCCCAACAGTTTAAGCAGAATGGAAAATAGTTATGTGACAAGAGAGTTAGTTTCACCTCAAATTAATTTTCTATGAATTCAGTTGGCACGTAGAGAGCTTATGCTTGCTATGTAGTTACTTTAAAGTGGAGTCTGACAGGAAGATCAACCAGGTAAACAAGTCCAAACGAATGAACAAAAATATCAGTGAAGATGAAAGGCAGATCTACAAGTGCTTTTTACTGGCTACTAAAATATGACATTAATAATGTTGGGAAAACTGTGCAGCTACAAGCCCAGGAATGTAAGTAGATCACTATATTTCACACCATACACAGAAAACAATTCAAGATGGATAAAAGATTTGAACATAAGACCTGAAACCACAAAATACATAGATGAAAACAGGGAAAACACTTCACGACATAAGCTTGAGGAACATGTTTGTAGATTTGTCTCCAACAAGAAAAACATAAATAAATGGTATGACATAAAACTAAAAAGCTCCTGCACAGTGAAAGAAACTGTAATCAAATTAAAAAGACATCCCACTGAATGAGAATAAAAATCTTCACAAAACCAAACATTTGATAGGAAAGACTTACAAAGAACTCAAACCCCTCCCCAAAAAATAAAACAAATAACCCAATTAAAAAATGGGCAGAAGAACTATATAGGCACTTCTCCAAAGAAGACATACAAATGACCAACAGGTATATGAAAAAATGTTTGTCATCGCTTATTGTCAGAGAAATGCAAATCAAAACCACACCTGTAAAAGTGGCCCATATTAAATGCCAGTGAGGATATGGAGAAAAAAGAATTCTATTACACTGTTGGTGGGAACGAAGACTAGTCTAGCCCTGATGGAAAACAATATGGAGCTTTCTCTAAAGACTATGAATGGGGGCCCTCCCTGGTGGTGTAAGGTGGTGTAAGGGTGGTGTAAGCACAGCACTATGCAGCTATCAGAAGCCACTGCAGCAGGAGTTCAATCCCTGGACAGGGGGGTGACTAACATGGTGCGGCAGACCTCTCCTGACCTGCCTACTGCTCCCCTCAGCAGTGTATTTCACTCACTGCTTGTTCTCCTCCCCACCCTGTCTCTGGTGAATCTCTCATTCTCCTGCCTCTCTCGTCTGCACCCTATCTCTTGTAGGCATAAATAAATAAATTAAAAAACAAAACAAAACTACAAATGGATCTGCCAGAAGACACAGCAATTCCACTCCTAGATTTCTACCCAAAGAACACAAGTATACTATTTTGAAAATAAAATAACTCCCATATTTACTGGAACACTGCTTAAAATGGCCAAGCTGGCCCTCCCTGGTGGTACAGCAGGTTAAAGCATAGCACTGAGAAGCTAAAGCCACTTCCACATGAGTTCGATCCCTGCCTGCCCCGGAGGAGACCACATGGCGAGGCAGACCTCTCCTGACTCGCCGGCTGCTCCCCTCAGCAGTGTACTTCGTCGATCTGCCTGTTCTGCTCCCCTCTCTGTCTCTGGTGAATCCTCTCACCCTCCACATCTCTGGCCTGTACCCCAGTTCTGTATGAATAAATAAATAAATCTTTAAAAAAAAATGGCCAAGCTATAGAAACAACCTAAATGTCCCAAAACAGATGAATGGATTATGTAGATAGTGTGTGTGCATGCACGTACACACACACGAAAATACTATTCCGTTATCAAAAATGATAAACTCTTGCTGTTTGCAGCAACATGGATGGAGCTGGAAGAGATAATGCTAAGCTTATCAGTCAGAGGAGAAAGACAAATACAGAATGGTGTAACTTCTATATGGAATACAGAAAAAGAAAGCAAAGACTCAGATAAAGTCAAGCTGAAAAACTATGCCCTTTAAGCTGACTACGGAATGGGGACAACCAGTGGGGAAGGGGGAGGGACAAGAACAAAGAAGAGTGTGCACAGGGGTCTACTGTGGTGGACTATGGGCTGCTTTGGTGGCGGTGCACTTTGTCAGCAATGCTTGAGGAAGGGGGTTTCTAGACTTCCACAAAAGAAATAATGTAAACCAATATTAACTCAATAAAAACTTAAAACATTATGAAATTGTTACCATAATTGCACACAAAGAAATTTTGTCTGAGTATGGAGTCACAAGCCCCTTATCCCAACAGCCCTGCCCAGGGCTAGTATCAAGCAACATATAGTTTTAATGCTTAATCTTCTGAAGATGAATGTTTCTATTCTATGTTTGGCAAGCCAGAAGGCTTTCTGACATGAACGGCTCATAGTAGATGCTGAAGAAATGTCTTTTCTCAATGAAGGAATGAATGAATTCCATGTCTATAAACAATTAAACAAGTCTCACCTTAATCATGACTAAGCCTATAGAAAAGCAACGACAAAAAAGAGGTAGCAAGACATGCTTCCTAAGCAGTAAAAACAAACCACAAAGTCCTAACAAAGCAACCATGTTCACATTCGTAGAAAAGTAAGATGGGAAAAAAAAAAATCAAAGTTAGTTGTTAGTTACTCTTCCCACTTCTTCTCTTTCATCAGGTGAGTGAACAGGGAGATGCCAGGGACAAAAAAAGTGTTGCGGAAAATATTGAGATTTTTAAAAAAATTGGTTTTCTAACATTCTGCTTTGAAATTTGATCCTTCAAGAAACATGAAGCAACTGTACTAATTGGTCTCCTTTTCTCTCTCATTTTAGCCCTGGATTTTTGTTGAATCTTTGAAATCTTTCTAGATGTCAAATACCTGAGTTCAAATCAGGTCTGAAAAGCCTAGTTATTTGAAAACATAGGCAGAAACGACTCAAATGTCCACTAATAGAGGAGTAGGTAAACAAAATCTGGTATATCCATACGATGGCATAATAGTTAAATCTTAAAAGAGGGATGTACTTCTGGTACCTGCTTCAAAGTGGATAAATAAACCTTTGAAGGCAATTTGCTAAGTGAAATAAGTCACATACTAAGGACAAGTACTGTATGAGGTCACTTATAGGAGGTACCTAGAGAATCAAATTCTGAGACAGAAAGTAGAATAGGGGTTATCGGGAAGCAGGGCAGGTGAATTGGAGTTAGTGTTAGTAATAGGTTCAGTTTCAGTGCAGGATGATGAAATAAGTTCTGGAGATGGGGGTTTCACAGCAATGTAAATTTTTGTGTTGTGGATAGTTTAATCACAATTAAAAAAAAAAACAAAATAAAAGCATAGTCACAAGTAGTTTTTCAGTCAATACAAGAACTCTGTTGGTGTGACAATTACTGGCAATCACCTTCCCAATTTATAAAATCAAAGATGTCATTCAGTTTGCATGTTAAAAGCCTACAGTCCAGGGAACATACCTCCCCAAGGTGCATTCCCAGATACCTACTCTCCTGCATCTAGAGCACACTAACACTATTGCTTACTTATAGCTGAAGACCCAAATAACAGCACAATTTAGAAAATGCTGAAACATATAAAAAAGGAAGACAGCATCCATAATGTAATCCTGCCACTCAAGTGCTCAAGATCAAGTGCTATTAGCATCTTGATTTCTATCCTTTCAGACTTTTGTTACTGTGTATGCACAAGCACCTGCATTTTTACATAAGAACTGGATTACAGGGTACATACTATTTTCAGACATACTTTTTTAAAAATCTAGTGATGTTATAGAAATATTTCCATGTAGAGAAATATGTCGTCACTTTTAATATCTCACAGTTTGGTTATATCACAATGTTCCTAACTTTAGTTGTTTCCATACTTCCTAATAGGTTCTTTTCGTAGTCTTCCCCACCATAACAGAACACCCCTGTCCTGCAGGAGATAAAAGTGAACTACTAAGTGTGATAACAGTATAATGCTTACATAGAAAACTATTTTTCTTTTTCAAGATGCTTTTGGATGTCTTCAGAGGTAAAATATGTGCTTTCTGCAATTAGCTTAAAAGTCATCATCAAAAAATATAGATGAAATAAATACATATTACAAAATATTAATATGACCACTGCTCATATGTGGAATGCAAATATTCACTAGAGTCTTCTCTCTACTTTTCTGTAATGGGAAAATTTCATAACAAAAAGTAAAAACAGAGAAAAATCAGTAAGTAGTACAAGCTTGTGTGAAGCTTGTACTTTATCAAGGCTGAATGCCTTGCCTTGATAAATGGGGAGATATATTAAAAACACTTACCTCCTCTCCCTCCCAAAATCCTACTGAAATTGTTGTAAAGAGATAAAGAAGGCATGAGCATCAAAGAGATCAGCAGAGAAATGGTGACAGCGATGGCAATGTCTTCCCTCTAACCCCTAAAGCAACATGGAACCTCATTTCTGAAAGGTTTAAAATCACTTTGGAAAAGAGCAAGAGGAATAAAAGAAAATTTGGGGGGGTGCAGGAACTTTTGTAAAGATTTTCCTCACATTTCAAAAAGCACAAGGAAAAGGTAGTTTCCACCTACATCTGGACCTTGTTTTACCGGGATGTTTCCGGCACTATTGATATAGACTTTGAGCTGAAGTCAAAGATTGATGAAGGTGAAATGAAAGAAGGGTGGGGAAAGAAAGCCAGGTCTGAATCTTTGGGAACTATACCCCTTCACTTCTGGACTTCTTGTCCCATCTGATAAGAAACTCTTTGATATTAAATGTTTAGAATCTAGATGGTTTGCGACTTGCATTCCAAGCATCCTAACTGACAAAAGTGTGAGTGGGAGGCTTTAACATATTTTCAGAAAACAGAATATGGCGAGAGAGGTGTTCGCTGATGGGGAAAGGAGCTGAGCTCTCACAAAACCTCAGCCAAGCAGCATACCTGGGGCTCC